TTCTGTCCATTCGATCCAAAAACAAGAAAAGAATTTGGAAAACCTTGACCAAATAGGTTGGCAAGTAAGTTAACATATTTAATGTATGTCTTGTTTTCAATCAATGGGCAAGTCTACAATAGTTTTGCTATGTTAAAGTAGAAGAGAATCATATATATACATAATAAAGAATTGTTAAACATTCTGACAAATAATTGCATAGATTTAACCCCCAAAATAACATTCTTTTTCAGATTGGTCAACAGCGCCACCTAGAGGCAGGAATCTTTTATTGACAATGCGTAGGAAAAGCCATAACTTAAAATCAAGTTAAACAAATGAACTTCAAAAAATTCTACAATTTTGTTTTGATGTACTAATTTCATCAATATCAATACTGATTTCATCAATATCAATACTGATTTCATCAATACCAATACTGATTTCATCAATATCAACACTGATTTCATCATTATCAATACTGATTTCATCATTATCAATACTGATTTCATCAATATCAATACTGATTTCATCAATATCAATACTGATTTCATCAATATCAATACTGATTTCATCAATATCAATACTGATTTCATCAATATCAATACTGATTTCATCAATATCAATACTGATTTCATTAATATCAATACTGATTTCATTAATATCAATACTGATTTCATTAATATCAATACATCATAAAGCGTAGGAAAACATACTTTTTAATTATACAAACAATTTGTCGTCATAAACTTTGATTGGTTAAAAAACCTGGCAGTATTAATGAGGTAAACTGAGGTAATTTAAATATATCATTATAAATCATTGCCCACAAACAGAATAACTCAAAATTTCAATTTAAACTTCAATCTTGATTTCACACTATTTGATTATTACAGAACAAATGTGGTAAGCTTATAATAAAAACTATCATCAATGAAATGTAATTGAAAAATGCATGTGTGAACATTTATTATTGTTGTTGTCAGCGTGGTATTCGTATCAGTGTGTTGACATTTGCTGTATACAAAGTGTTTCTTGATAAAACACATGGGCTTGGCCATTAAAATCTGGGGAGGGGGCTTGATATTGATAAAAATAAAGAAAGAAACTGTTGCCAACAAAATTTAATAGTGAAATGACAGAAAAAGAATAACATATAAAGGAAAAAAAAAAAAAGAAGACATTGGGCAGTGGAGAGCACCAAAAAAAAAATTGTTTACCCCTCCACCTGAGATTCTAATAGTCAACCCTAAAGCTAAAAACCTTACCTTGATCATCTGAGATTAAAACCAATATAATCTTATCTGGTATAAAAACTACCAGGTATACATGTTACAGGGCATCTACTGAAATGTATACACTTCTAATGAAGTAAATATAGAAGTAAAAAACTGAATACAAAAATTATCATTATCCTCATTTTTGATTACTCTGTGTATATATACAATTGATTGCATGTAGAAATAGCTATTAAACTTGAATGGCTCCCAAATAGTGACTTTTTATTACTTTTATATAACATAGTTAAACTCTGGTGACCTTGCCCTTTGTTATATAATATAATTCCCTTTATCATAGTTTGTTTCAATATGAATATGCATTGTCATAATTAATTTTGAATACAAACAAGTTTTGGGGTTGAACCAACAGTGGGGAATCAGTCTACCGAATGTCCTTGATTGATGTAAATATCTTACAAAAACATTGGTGCCAAATTTGTTCAATTATTTTAAGGGACATAATTTCCAGCTTTATTCAATGTAATTCAGATATTTTAGCATAAAAACAAATGCCTCATCTTGGAAAAAAAGTGCTGCATTTAGATGTGTATAGATTTATAAAACATGAAGATAAACAATTTGCTTAATTGAACACATACAACAATGCATATTTCCACTGAGATCAGTGACCTTTGAATGTGTATCACCAGTGATCAGTCAAGTCAAAATATTTTATCAGATTTTCACAATTTTTGCATGATATTTTCACACAGGACATCTGTCGTTCATACTAAGGGAAGAATTGTTACTGAAGAATTAGGTGACCAAGTTTGAAAAAATTTGGAAAAGAATTATTAAAGTTATTGTGCACACAATAACAATTTTCAACATCGATGACAACGACAACGACATTTTCCCCTTAACATATTCATCCCTTCCATCTTTGATGATACAGGAAATGTAAAAACCACTAAAAAGCTTGTCTAGATCATTGAGAATGACATTTTGTCACATCCTACTAACAAAGAAAATACTAATTGGAAGATGGTACAAATATTTATTGAGTTTGACATTTTTAATCTGATCAAGTGTATGTGTCATGTTTGACATGGGTCCCGTTCAATGTATACAACTTCTGTAACATACACTCAACTACATTTGATTTAAGTTCCTATGATAAGATTACATTTTATCTCAGATTTAATATTGCGTTCTATGAAATTAATCCCAGGAGATATATATACCATATTTTCTTTATT